AGAGAGAGAGAGAGAGAGAGAGAGAGAGAGAGAGAGAGAGAGAGAGAGAGAGAGAGAGAATGTGCAAGTGCACATCACATCATTTATAAAAAGTGGAAAACAAGGTGAAGCATATGTTTTCCTAGGGGTTCGTTTTTTTGCTCGCGAAGCTGCAACGGGTCCTCTGAACTGAATGCACTCTTGCTTGTACGGTTTATGCTTCAGGGAATGAACTTTCTTGCGGCGCTTTTGCTACTCTTGATGCCGGAGGAGGCTGCCTTCTGGTATGTGGAATGATTGACATTCAGATAGCATTTGAAAGCCATTCTGAAAACTTCTTTGCCATACGATTCACTTCACAGCTAGTGCTTCCAATCACAACTCTTTGCATTGGAAATTACAATGGCTGTATGGTTGTTTGTCTTCTTCTGCTGTCTCTTCACTCTGGTTGGGTGGTGCAATTGTGATGCTGATTGTGGTGATGTTGAAAACGGTGGTGTGCAATCACGAGGGAGAGGAGGATGTGCATCACGGGGGCGAGATGATAATGTGCAGTCAGAAGGGAGTTGAGGTTGTTGAAGCGTAAGGACAGCACCATGTCTTGCAGCCAAATCTCAGCTAAGTAGAACATCGAACCGTGCATGGTTGGGCAATTTTAATGGAGGACGAGGCTACAAACCTCTGGCATAGAGCTATAAACCCTCGCTTCAGAGGTAGGAGGAAGAGGAGGGTGAGGAGCAGATGAATACCAACCATACAGTAGGTGTGGCAAACAATGTTCTGTTTGATGCCAGAAGTGGTGACATGCGTGGGCTCTGCTGAGTTGTCTGCACGAAGGCTCTGTAGGTCCCTTCTGCGATATGCTGAAATTGTGGTGTTCCCTTTTTCCAGGTGTCTCGTTGCGATAATTGATGACTACTTTGAAGGCTACTATACGGAAAAGATGGTCGAAGCACAGGTGAGTTGCATAGCAATTGGTTCACAGTTTTAAGGATGAAGGGGAGGCAGATCTTTGGAAAGTTGTCCAGATCATGTATTGCAGATTCTTTCCCTGTGGGGCTGGGTCATGATTATGATGATGATGATAGCGATAAAGAGTGATGATGAAGAATGGTGACGACAATACTGATGACAGAGACGGGGGTGGCAACGGTGCTGCTTCTGCTAACGATATCAACAAGGCTGCAAGTATAAGGATGGGAATGTGGAGGTGCTTGGCTGAGATGAAATCAATGTTTGTAAATGAGCTCTACTATGTTTGACCTGCCTGGATTCATTGGGGGTGAGGTCCTGACGTGTTAAGCCTTGGTGCGAGGCTGTGCATGCATGACCATGTGATTTCGAATGAACACAATTGGAGAGAAACGAGGTGTCATCAAGAGCCGTGATGTTGACATGGTACTGATAACTACCGTCTTCACCTGAATAATGCCCGGGCATTGTATATGAATATGGCACCCAGCGGGCGTTGTATTCAGTAAATTGGTGGCAACTTCGGTGGAGCCCCAAAATTCGGACAAAAAAAAAAACAAATCCAAAAATTCTGTTAAAAAAAATATGTTGTCTAGAACTGCAATGCCACCAACTTTTGGCTGAGGGTCACTTCAGAAATCCTTATAAATTCGGAAATAAAAAAAAGAAAACAAAAAAACAAACCAAAACATACCCGTTGGAAGTCAAAACCCCTTTCAACCCCATGTATACGCCCCTTTCCGCCCTTTAAAACCCATGTAATCTCCCTCTACAAGGCACTCTGCCCATGCGACATTCGAATATAATGCCCGGGCGTTCTATTTGAATATAACACCCGGGTGTTATATTCGAAGGGGCGTTCTATTAAAAAAAAGTGAGAAAAAACAAAAATCTGAATTTTAAAACCCATGATTAAACCCACAGGGTTAAGAAAAACGTTCTCACACGCGTAAAGTTATCATACTTGTGACCATGATCTGATTGGTCACAGGGTGGTGTCACGGTGTGCAGGTTCACATCCACTGGACTTTTTCTGGGGTACATGGGTAACCTTTGGGTCTGAACGTAGATGGTTGCTTGAGAATTTGTGGTTTCCCTCACCATTCAGTGCCTGTCAGGAATGAGGCTAGCCTATGCGCTTTGGGTTCACCGGCGGAGATGTTTGGCTTGGGCCTCCTGGCTGGTTGTGCAAGTTGGTGGCTTTTCAGCTCATGCCAGGTGTTAGGATCCGGGGTACTGCTCCCCGCCAGAGCAGGATAGACTGGGAAGGCTGGAAACTCAACCTATCACCTTGAGCATCCCCTGGAAAAAAAGTGGACGTATATGGAGGTAGGCAGGTAGAGTGAGGTATATGAGCGAAGAATATAGATTAGTTAAAAAAAAAAAGCAAAAAAAAAGCAAAAAAAAAGAAGAAAAAAAGAAGACTAGCCTAAGGCATGTCTGCCTGGCACTTATTGAAACCTGTCCATGGGTGTTTGAGTATAATGAATCAAGGCATGGTGCAGCACAGGTGTGTGGCGTGTGCTCATCTTGACGAGTGATCAGTTCAGTTCACGGGGCTGTTTGTGGTGAGGGTATAAATTTCAGTCCGCTCTGTGTCCATGCACTTCATCTGAGAGCTTGTTCTTGCTGTTTTACCAGTTGAGGCCTTTAGATATTTCGAGTCTGGCAGGTTTAGCAGTGGCCCTTCTCAATTTGCTGCTGGAGTTGACACTACTCATCGTTGGCTTCCTTTCCAGGTGGATCAACTCGTTCTCGATAATCTTGTCCGGAAATATTTTCCCAGAGTCGGTGAGTTGATTGCATGCCTGACCCTGTCTCACACCTAGTGTAGCAGTGAGGCCCTTTGCTGGGTGGTAACTCAGAAGGATTACCTTTGGAGGGTCTCCTTCGTGATGCTTGGGAAACAATTCAACCGAGACTCTACCCTGTGTTGCATGCCTTTCAAAAAACGAACGTGTAATTGGGTTCTTTTGGGCTTGCAGTCCTCTCACTCTCTCCTTTCAAACTTACGGGGTGTAATCATGACTTGGTGACAAAGGTCTTCGTTCTGTGGCAGACTAAGGGAGTTGTGATCCTGTGGCTTCTGACTGGTGTTGGAGGCTTAGATCAAAATGTTTGCGTGTGCATCCTTTCTGTTCGCACCGGTGTTGCTTGGTTTGTTTATTCATGCATATGGAGTTCGTGTACTTGCGTTTGCATTTCTTGTATTTTAGTTGTTGATGGTGTGGTCAAGACAATGCATTGGCTTCTTTCTCTATGAGATGTGCAACTGTGTTGGTTTGTTAAGCGAGTGGTCTGGAGTGGACAACACACGCATGGGGAAGCAGGAGACCAATCTGACGAAAGAGTATGTGGAATTGGCTGATTCTGGAGTATTAAACTGACGAAAGGGCCTTGGAGGAGGACATGTGCACAAAAGCCCTGGAGGCCTAATCATTTGGACCATTTGTATGGTGCACCCCAGGGCATTATCGTCCAAGTTTACCTGTTGTCCTCCACTGCAGTGCAGA